CTATCCCTCCACCTTTCCAACCACCCCTCCACCTCTCGTCCTATCCCTCCACCTTTCCAACCACCCCTCCACTTCTCGTCCTATCCCTCCACCTTTCCCACCACCCCCACCTCTCGTCCTATCCCTCCACCTTTCCAACCACCCCTCCACTTCTCGTCCTATCCCTCCACCTTTCCAACCACCCCCACCTCTCGTCCTATCCCTCCACCTTTCCAACCACCCCCACCTCTCGTCCTATCCCTCCACCTTTTCAAGTCTCCCTCCCTCTAGACGCAAGTAAATAAAAACAAGAAGAAAATTATTACCTACACACATCTCGCGTCGCCTTCCCATTGCAAGCGACAGAACAACGATAAGAACTATAACGACAAGCATCCTTCACACTTGTGACCAACATGAGAGCAACAACTGCATACTGATAGTCTAATCAAACCTTAATCATCTTATGCATAATCACTCATCCAATCATTCATTTTCACTCTCTCTCTGGCAACACGTTCATAAATTTACGAGCGTTTTAATTTTAGTTTTAAACAGACAACACAGAAACACTGCTGCCAAGGTTTTTTGGACTCTACAGCTACACGGTAAATATTTGTAGTGTTGTTTGATATAAATATTTTAAAAATATTATTGGATTTATTTTAAACATACAATAATCTTAAAATTGTATATTCAATGCGTCGCTTTAAGAACTGCCCTTCTTTATCCCAAGCTCAATATTTTTGAATGTCTTTGGAAAAGATGTCAGATAGGAGACTGATTCTTCTCAATAGTCTAAACGTCATTGGTGTTAATTTTTGTCATCATTTTCAAATGTGTTACATATGAAAAACTTGCCAATGAATATCAGATAGATTTAGTCAACATATTGGAACATTAATCAAGACAAACAATATCCCATATCGTCTAATTTTTACAAGAGTTATTCTGCAAATGGAACATTTGTAACCATTTTGTCTCTGGCATCTTCCATCAACACGCCACCAACGGGACCTTGACAGCACATGGACTGCTGTAACTGATTTCTAATATGTGTTAACACCTTCTCAAACACAGTTAATGTTTCACTTAAACACCTTGTTTTTCTTTATTATTTTTTTTATATTTATTGACGTAATCGTTACTTTCAGTTTTCTCTCATACATAGCGCACAACTCTATAGCATAAATGGCTGTTTATTTCATGTGTAATTTTGTTAGCTGTAGAAGGCATTTTGCCAAGTTAAATTGTATTTCCTGTCAGGTTTGCTTTGTTTATTAGTTACAGTTAACTGACACCTCGCTTTATTGGGCTCTGGAGTGGCCTTCAGACGCCACCAGAGGTTTAAAAACAAAGATGTAAATTTTTCTGGAGGTTGATATCAAAATATTTAGAGATCCTCGCCTCTCTCGAGCACTGAATGCCACTGTATCTATAAAGCCTAAACACGTATGTGATCTGAAAATTTATCGTTTAAGGCATGTTACTCTACATTGCTTTCAAAGATTGTGTAACAAATTATATCTTTACTAACTAATGCTAAATTGTAAAGTTTAGGTGAAATGGTAACAGATCGGCTTTTCCCACTTCAAACATGAGTCCCATCAATTTCCATTTTTAAATTGACCAATATAACTCCATGCATATTTGTTGCCTGCATTCCAGGGTGGTGGAAAAACGATTCGATTCATGGTCATGAACAACTTACTTCCCAACAAGCTACACATAGACAAAAGATTTGACTTGAAAGGCGCAACCAAAAGAAAAACAGCTACCAACGTTGGCAAAGACGATGAATTTCTTAAAACATATCCAAATGGGTTTGAAATGAACGAACGATATGTTACCAGATTGAGAGAGTTGTTGGAGTTGGATTTCATGGTAGGATTATTTCACAATAAATAAAAGCATATCATTAATCTGCACACAATAAAAAGCATAACTGATTCAATTTTTTAAACGCGGTAAGTCCTTTATCATTCCCGAGAGATGAATGATTGTTATTTAAGTGCCATTTGATGTTGACTATAACACTAGTGATATAGAGGGTTTTTTTTTTGGGGGGGGGGGTGGAATGGCTGTACGAAAACATATTTCAACAGCTGCATCTTTATTCTTAACTCAGTGAGAGAATTCATCCATAACTGAAATCAACATACAGCTAGAATAAGGAGTAGACTGGTGCAAAATATGTAAGCGGATAGTAAATTCACACTTTGAATTTGTAAGATTAAAGTGGCGCAGTCTATCCCTGGTTACCTCAATTTTCCAAGACCTATCACTAGCATAATGCTCGTTTATATATATATATATATATGTATATATATATATATATATATATATATGTGTATCATATGTATTATATATATATATATATATATATATATATATTACATATGATACATTATATGTCAGCTAGGTCGACCTTCGCATGCGAAGCTGTATTGTGTACGAAGTGAGGGAGAGTTGCCCAATTCGTCAGCATCGCTCTCTCGTCCTTGCCTATTTGTTCCAATGGCAAAAGCTAGTCTAGACGACTGGAAATAGACAAGGATGCAGAAGATCACAAGCAGTTTGTATCGTGTATCACCGTGTTCTATATGCAGGAGTTGTTNATTTATATATATATATATATCATTAATTTTTTTACAAACAGCCATCCGTTTTCATAATCATTAATGAGCTAGTTTAAGAAAAAAAAACTCCTATGTCCAATAGAAAAATCTATTGAATACACGTGCATGCACATAGGTATTTATATTTTATTTAATATTCTGTACGTTTTTCTACCCTTGATAATTAATCTTATCAAACCTTAAAAATTACATTACGTAATGTGTTACTTAATAAGACCTTAGCCTAAGTAATTAGAAATTAGCCAAGGTAAATAACGGGTGCACAGGGTAGCAGAGCCCCCTACTGCCCTGTCCACTTCCCACTTTCGCTAAGGAAGCTTCAACGCCCTCAGTTTGAGCTCACGTGCCCACATTTACTTTATCACCGATCCTGTCTGGCGTTTAAAATCATTTCAAAACACTAGAACCGCTCTGTAGATCAGAGAAACAAAGCCTAGGTTTACCTGCCATAATTCAACACAAACTCACGAAATTTAACTGACATTTTCACCTTTACCGGGTCTTTGGAGACGTTCTGGAAAGGGAATGTCAATTTAAATTTGAAAATCCCTTGAACAGGTTGTTGATCTTTCCCGCCTCAAAACTTATTACCACTTTCATTGAAACATTACGAATTTTGTTTTCTTTCTGTTCCCACTTGTTCGTGTGACGCAAAAAATGAGCTTTTCTAATATATATATATATATATATTTATATGTGTGTGTGAGTGTATGTGTGTGTGTATATATGTAAAGAGCCAAACATATAGGAACAATGATTTTAATGTGTAGAGGCCAAAGGTGGGAATCAAAGGATATCGACCAAGGGTTATTCAAAGGGTGGGCCCCTATTGTGTAAACTAAGATTTTAGAGAAATAAAAAAATATTTGATACATGGCTCATTCTGTTCTTCCTAAAAATGTTGACTTGGAATTTTTTATTCTTATAGATGAATCAAAAATATTTTTCCTCCTTATTTCTAGCACTTGAGAGAACTTGGACTCACCAGCTACAGTATGTTTATTGCCCTTCATGAAGTAGATAAAGATGATGAAGACGACCATTTGAGAGTGTCTAAAGATAACATACATGAACATACTAGATCACCTCGTTCACTTGGATTATTAAGGTTTGTCATAGATAACTGGAACGTAATATGTTGTTGTTCGTCCGTCGAAGTCGACTAGGACCATCGAGACATCCGTTAAGGGGGAGGGTGGGTTACGGTGAGCTCGTAGGTGGCCTGCAAGACCGATCCGTGCTTGGAATAATCTCTGGCACCGCGGGCATGGGATGGTTGCAGAAGACGGTGACCTAATGCTGGTCTTTCGGGCAAGCCTGCGTGTCTCAGCTGTAATTATCCTATCAGCTTCATGGGATTTAGCACCCTGCTTGACAGCTGCTCTCCACCTGGCTCTGTCCAGGGCTGCCTGCAGCCACTGAGTATGGTTTATGCTGAAGGCCTTTAGTGCCACTTTCAGTGAGTCTTTGTAACGCTTTTTTTTTACCACCTTGGGAAAGCTTGCCTGTCGTGAGTTCTCCGATGGATATCTGTTTCCGGAGCCGGTGGTCTTCCATACGGGCTACGTGCCCCATCCATTTGAGGTGTACAGAGTGTTACTCACAAAAAAATTTGCCAACATGAATATTCCACACACAATTTTCCCTATAGGAATATCACGTATGCGGAAAACTCCACAAAAAACACTCTTCACGTGAATTTGTCACCAAACGGAAAATTTCCCGCATAGATGACTAAGCGCACAATATATTCTTAACATTCTGTGTGTGTGTATTTGCTGCTACTGCCTTTAGAATGTAAGCTTGGAAGATAAATAATAGTTGCTGGGTATACTTCAATGAAATACAAATATTATAAAGTTGTAGAAAGGGAAATGGGGATCAATGGAATTGGAACAAATCTTAGTTATTTATTTTGTGATCTGAGTTTGAAAACATTGCTTGTTAAGGCAGGCTAGGATTCTGAAAACTTGAATTGAATGTAGTCAGAATTTCTTTTTTTTTACAATTACATTTCTTTAACCCACCAATTTCTTGCATTGTATGTGCTTCCGAAATTGGTCGATATAATATTTCACTGTATGATCTCATTTAATTTTTAAATTTAACTTTTGTATTTCCATTCAGTTTTAGATCTCATGGTGTGCCAGCCCAACTAGGCGGTACTGGTAAAGTCTTACTATACATTGGCATCATCCATATACTAAAACCTTACACATTTAGAAATAAAGAGGAATATTTTTTCAAGTCAATGCTTCCAGGCGGGGTAAATGGATTCTTTTTTGTTTTTGTTTTTTTTTTGTTATTATAAATATTTTCATTAGTCAATTGCAATATTTCATTGAATTTATATTATAGATATTGCATTTATTAAACTTTTCTAATAATAATAATAAAGTTCATTTTAAAAACACGATTCATCCCCAAAGGCTCGAAGCGCGGTACAAAGTCAACAAAAAACATATCTATAATTTACCACATTTAAAACAAACGCAACACTACAAAAACTAATTACAAGCATACAATGGCAAAGTCTTTCTAGCCATTTCAACCATAAGCAACACAGCCATTATGCATTAACTGGAAAATAAGGTAGACAATCATCCCAGAAGGTGTTTGCGAAATAGATGTGTCTTTAAATCGGTTTTAAAGGACTCCAGTGTCTGGTTGTTTCTGAGATCGACAGGAAGGGCGTTCCAAATTGTTGGACCAGCAAATGCGAAAGTGCGCTTTCCGCAAGTCTCAAGGCAAACACGTGGTGTCGAGAGTTTGCCACTATCGGATGAGCGGAGCTCTCTAGTGGGTACATAAGGCGTCAGCAGCTCTTTCAGATAGGACGGCGCCACGTCATGTAAGCAGCGGTAGCACAAAGTTGCGATTTTGTACTCTATGCGAGCACGCACCGGCAGCCAGTGCAGCTCTCTCAGAAGTGTTTTTGCATGGTCGAACTTGCGTTTGCGGAGAACAATGCGAGCCGCATTATTCTTTGCTATTTTAATTTTATCCAGGAGCGTAGCTGGAAGACCCACCATGAGAGCATTGCAATAGTCCATGCGTGATAGCACAAATGCAAACATCAGCCTCTTTGTTGCATCAATTGTTAGGAAGGGCCTGATGTGACTAATCCTGCGCAGCTCCAGAAAAATCGCCTTGCAATGCATGTTAATATGACTTTCAAAAGTTAGTCTTATATCTAGGTAGACACCCAGGTACCGCACTGTTTGAGCTAACTCAATACGCACACCTCAGAGAGTAATGGATGTCGTGTTATTTGCAGATTTTTGCTTCTGAGTGGTCGCGATGGGGAGCAGCTCAGTCTTATCATCATTTAATTTGAGCTTGTTTATGGTCATCCAGTGCTTAACCGACTCCATTGTCTTCTGTTTTTTATTGAGCAGCTGAGGGAACTGAGAAGGGATCACGGATTGATGAAGTTGAGTATCGTCCGCGAACATGTGATACAACATGTCAAACTGCCTGATCTCTGCACCCAGGGGCTGAATGTACATCGTGAAAAGCACCGGGCCTATGACCCAGCCCTGGGGTACTCCGAATTCGATATTAGATTTCTTCGAGGTCAAGCCATTTGAAATAACTGACTGGACCCGATTAGTCAGATATGATCGGAACAAACACAGGAGTGTATCAGTGAGACCGAACGTTTGTTGCAGACGCTGTAGCAGTATGCCGTGGTCAAATGTTTTACAAATTGTTTAATGTTAAGAAATCAAATAATGAAATTAGAGCTAGGGATTTCATCTTTTCAAAGTAGGCTTCCAATTATACATAAGTCAAGTACGCAGTCAATGAAATTCTATTCTAAGCCGATTCGTGTATCTTAATTCACTCTTATCTCTCTTCTCTTCTCACTCTTCCGGTCAATTTCATTCCTCAATATTTTCCACCTCCTTTCAATTTTATCTATCAATTTCAGATTTTTAAAAAAGCATCTGAGAATATTTAATTATAATTGATCTCTGACTTTCTGAGCAATAAACAGAACATTGAGTTTAAAAAAATTATCATCTTTGTCTTGCTTCTTATTAGCCTAGAGTTCCAAGCATGTTTAAGTAAAGCTAATGTTCCTCTTGCCTTCTGTAAGCTTAACATAAGTTCCCTAATCCGTACTAACCATCTATAATCTACACAGACCTAATCGTAATACAGTTGTATTAGGGTTCCCTCCCATTTTATGTATTTAATTTACCAGATTCTATGCCAACATATTTACTTGCTATGAAATTCAAGTAATAGGGTCGTTCTCTTACGCTTGATTGTATCATTATGATCGTGATTTTTTGATGCATGAATACTGGATCCATAGATTTGAGAAATATTTGAAAATTAGTAAAATCAAGAAGGGTATGATAATGTTTTCTGGGAATAGTCTGAACATCTTAAAGATAGTTACTTCTGTTTATTGTGATCCCATTCATCATAATATCCTAGAGGGTCACGTTGTGACGCTGCTTGTTTAAAGCCCGAATTCACTCAATACTTTTTGAATATGTAACAAAAAACTTATTTAAGAGACTTTTGGCTCTCAATTTGGCATTTGCAGTATACGTCGCATTGATATAAGTCTCATTTTTATTCCAGACCACTCTTCATTGATTCTGGACCGCTGACTGATTGTTTATATTTTAAAGTGTTGATTTCCTTGTGCTGTAGCTACAGCTGTTGTCAAAACATGATAGACATAGTTACAATGATCAATACGTTGAAGCTGTAGTTGCGGATCTATTAAAGAAATATATCAAACGCAATATTACTATGTGCATTGAGGCACTTCATCATTTTATGGATAGTAGGTTAAAACAAGACGCTTGTCTTTCGCGATTTTTTACTTGAAACTGAAGTCAATTGCAAAGGCGCGGAATGTATTATCCTCGACATTTGATACAATTTCGCAACGACCGTGTATCGCGCAAGGAGAGGGGGGGGGCTGACTTTTTCTTGGAATCTTGTGATTTTTTACAGCACCAGTGATGTGTGGTAAAAAAATCAAATGACAATTTCGTGAATTTCTTGTCTTCTCATAGGGTTGCCAAACATGAAAGACTGTAGTTTAAAGACAATGCAATTAAGTTTTGTCTCTTGCGTGTACAATTAGCATTGGTTTTAGACCAGTGTTCATGTTCTGTAAATGTAATGATGAAATCAGCAGCAACCCACTTGTTGAAAATCTATGTAATATTTGTTAAACTTTTTCTCCTATTTATTCTGGATCTTTCAAAGCAGAATCACAGCGACCTTGGATTGGAAATGTATGTTATACACATATCGAGTCTAAGTTTGTAACAAAGAACTAAGGCATGCCAGGAAAAAAATATTTTTGAAATTTGAAAGCTTTGCATTGGAGGCCAAATGAAATAAATAGTTTTGGCTTCTTCTCGGAGACCTTAAATTCAAATAACTACTGAGGCAAGGCGAGTTCTCCTGTGCTGATGATAGGCCTGTATTCATTCGATATTGCTGTCAGAGTGAGTTTTCCTGTGCTCATGACAGGCTGAATTTACTGGATGTTGCTATCAGAGTTGCTCTGAACAGAAATGGCTGACTGCAAAACAAACTTTGTTTTGTTGCACAGCCTGGGACAATTCTCAGGTCTAATTTGGTAGGAATTCAGTCTTATCATAATGGTTAAAGAATGGATGTTCTCCTCCTTATGTAGTGATAACATCGAAATAATAATTTTAAAAACAATTTAAACAACTCAAAATTATGAGCACATTTTCTTTACGTTTCAATTTTAAGGGCAGTTACAAAGAATGCCGACATCCTTATATACAATTTATTACCTGTCAAATTCTTTAATTCTTATGTCTCTAAAAAATATTACTAATAGTTCTTACAGTAAATTAAGCAGATGCTTTACGTTGGAATTAAATTAATTACTTTTCGGCAAAATGAAACAAAACACCTTTGCGTGGTATTAAGAGTCCCTTTCAGTCCAGCAAATAGATTATTTTCTAGCGCCCATTGAACATAGCTTTTCCACTTCATGTTTAGTATAACTGTTTTGGGATTTTCTTTCGAGCGCCTATTGAACTCATCTTTGCATAATGACATTGGCTTATTCTTACTTAAAAAGGTAATAGTTTGCATGTACTCTTACTTTTATTTCCCAAAATTTTAGACTTCAGAATACGCTGCTTTATTTATCCACCGTTTACCGTCAGTTCATTCTCAGCTAAGTTATGTTGGTTAATGTCTTCCCGCTAATTACACACCCCGTGATTTAAGACCGAACTTGACTGGCTTCGTCTTGTCTGAGGGACAGGTTTTAGAATATACGAGGCCTAGCTTTTCCTATGTTTGAAAATATTATTATGTCTTGAGATAATTTGACAAGTACACATACTTAAATAACAAACATTAGTTCTAAATTGGTACAAAACACAAGCTTAGAAAAAAATAAACAATTTTGGTTTATACTTTTACTAGTGGGAGAATGAGGAAAAATAATATATCATAGCTGTAATAAATAGATACAATTGCCCCCAAAATACGCAAATACGCAGGAATAAGTCAATGATGAGGTTAGACAAAAACATTCATTCATAAGAAACTTCCTAGAGATAAATAATTAACATTACCCACAGTAAAATACTGAACTATTCAAAAGTTCAGAGGTATTTAATTTCGTACCTACGTTTGGTTACTATAACACACTAACGTGTCTAATACAAATAAAACTCTGGTTAAAGGGACTCTGTTAGCAATCTCTTACCATGAAATCTGTACACACATACGTTGATATTCAAGTCAGATTGGTCAGGACCAGTAAAAAAAATAAAGTGTGTCAGGTGGTTATGGGTTATTCCACGTGATTTCATAAACGTATAATATATTGGTAGAGTCCAAATGTGGAGCTAAAATGTTGACTTTGCAACATCGCCACTTAGCACTCAATAAATTTCTACAATAAAGAGTTTCAAATAGCACCATTTAAAATTTAGAGAGGTCAAGTTGAATTATTTGTTTAAAAAGAAAAGTGCTTTTTTAATATGGCTGGATATTTAGCAAGGGGCTTACATCAATCTCAGTGGTGAACTACGCTACTAAATAATGGAGCACTGGGTTGTAACATAGCCGAAACGTGTGTTGTTTTATTCCATCTTTCTTCAGTTTTTCCACTAATCTCTTTACAATAATACTTCATTTGTTTAGTTTTTTTTACACAAGAAATTTTTTTAACGCACTTAAACACTAAGAAATAACATATTAGACTTGATATTAATAACTGAACCCCTGCCCCCAGGATGACACACCAGTTCAGCCACCCAAAAAATTTGAAGAGAGGTTCATGAGATTCGTCAGGGATATTTGGTTCAAACCTCAATGTGAGTTCACTATTTGTAATCAATATGATAAATATCCACATTCCGTGTTGGTAAAAGCGATGCATTTTTTTAACGTTTCTTTTATGCTTTGATTACTGAAATGTGATGAGTTTTAAATCGTAGATTTTTTAAAATAAATACAACATTTTATTCAGAAATATTTTCCTAAGCATAGCCTGGTCAAATGTTTTAATATATTTTTACTGTCACTAGAATTTCATTATTCTTTTTCAGAAAAGATAGAAATGTTTGCTGGAAATCTAAGAGTATTTAACTTCACCAGTCACATTATCCCATCGTTTTGAACAATGCATGTACTAACGTTCTTATGGCCCTTTGATTCATATTTTAAATGACACATTCATAAACACTTTGTATGTGTGATGAAATGGAGCTGACGTGGAAATTTCCATGTACTCACGATCATCTACTTAGGAAAACTACCCCCCCCTCCCTTTTCGAGGTCAGGGCAAGTTATTTCCTCTGATCACTGTCAACCCCACGTGGAAAATCACTGAACTGAACCACAAACTGAATCAAGAAATAGAAACGCTGCGCCCCCCCACCCCCACCCCCCACCCCCAACCCACAATCTTGCCTCGGTGAGCAAGTATTGAATCAATACCACGCATCGAAATTATTAAGTTCATTGGATTCAGATATCACATAGTAGTGATTGTCCAATGAGCCATTAGACTAGAATCATTATAAAAGTCGTTGCAAAAGTTAAAAGCTTTCTTTTCGAGATTGAGTCAACAGTAACCTTAGAGTTGCTTAAAGTCGGCTTTTTATAAACCTACCTGGTTGCTAGATCGCCGTATTACAGTACAGTCAACCGCCCCTTAGCAGCTGAATTGAAGGATCTGTTTCCTGACGCCTGAGTCCAGGAACCCCGACCAGGAATCCATCCGGAAGACTAATTCATCGCCCGCAACGCTAGGACCGCGTGCTGATGGACTTTACTCCCAAAGAGAAGTCTTACATATACCCACCACAGCGTACTGGGGAAGAGGCATCTCAGAAGGTACAGTTGTGACTGGTATCATCCACCTGCATGAACGCCCATAAAAGCGCTGAGCCCTGAAAAGCTACGAGGTAAAGAATTAGAGAATTCACTTCCACCCTTGAAGTAATTCTATTGCATCGCATTGCTCTTTCGTCCCCTTACGTGAACGTCCCAAGAAGCCACAAAGGACATGACCCGAGGATCCATCTCCATGTTGAAGTGACCTCATCATTGTGAATGATATAACAAGATCTTCAAAGCTGCTTCATAACCTACCGCTCTGTCAGCCTACTCACGTGAACGTCCCGAGAAGCGCCGAGCCCTGAAAAGTCACGGAGTGAAGAATCGTAGGAGCCACCTCCACATCGAAGTGAAACTAGTAGTGAGTGTCAAGCCAGATGATCAAGCCAGATGATCCAGGTAGATGATCAAGCTAGAAGATCAGAATGAGTGACTGATTAGTTAAGTGTGAAAGGTCAGAGTATATAAGATTGTGCTACAGGGCAAAGCAACCGTTATGATGAGAAATAGGCTTTACGGGAGGCCATTGTTTATAATAAACTAGAACTTATATCTGCATATACTTCATGCCTTATATTAAGATGCATGTAAATAAATAAGTTCATGTCATTTACTAAATGTTGTAATGAAGTATTTGATAGTTAATGTAAATGAGTAATGTAATTATGTCCCTCAGTGTGTGAAATCAACATAACAAAATACCCCTCGACACAAGCAGGTGATGCACTCATCAGAGAGTTTTTCCAATACCCCCTAATATAAAAATCATTTCACCACAGTATGTCACATTCACTCAACATTTCAATTTTTTTATTAAATAACATTTTAATGCCATATTGAAAAATGTGTTATCTCATTTGGACCGACAATTTATAACTCACCTTTACCAACATATTGACGTCATACTCACCAAATATATATATATATGGGAAAAGTTTAACAACAAGATTTGGTACGTTGATTCTATACGGTATAAACTAAATCCGTTCTTCTTAACTTTGTTCCTGTCTGGTTTTGCGCCAACTCTTATTCTTTTTTTTCACTTAGGGAGGATACCTGTAAATATGTATTATGTAGATATAATGTAAACTTCTTTCAATGATTTTTTTAACCATAAAGGCATTACCGAAACGTTGACATTTGTATTAAGTTAAATTATCAATAAAGCTGAACATATCTTGTTTTATGGACACAAATTGTTGGTGTCTAATTAGTCTAATTTCAAGCTTTATCCCAGTCTTATCATACTCATCAAAAATTCGTATGCCACATTTACAAACATATGTATATGTCATTTTCAAAGACATTTTTACTGTCACACTCAACCACATCTTGTTTTTCATATTTATTAAAATTGTAAAGATTTGTTCATTGATGTTAACACAACTAATGATTGTCTATTTAACCAGACCCCTTTTTGTCATTCAATGAAAGTAAGAATTAGCTCTTTGGCATTACATTTTTTTGTTATTGCATAAAAAGGGTCAAAATGTAGCAACAAATGATACAAACATGTAGCAAGTTGAGCCTGTTTGACAAAAATATCTAAGAAAACGTGAATTTTAAGAAACAGACGATAACAAAGTGGTAGACAATAGAAACGTAACAAGTGCAGTTTCATATGGTATCTATTCAGCATAAAAGGTTGATTCAAGTGAGCGCCATTATAAAGATAGACAATCTTGAAGTTAACAATGATACGCCTAGTCTGAAATTTCCCTGTCCAGAGATGCATAAATTTATAACAGATTATATTAATTATTTTACTGTAAACGTGTTACAAAGAGATGTTTGATTGGTGGAATGTAAATGAAACTTTTGTCAGTGATTGGCTGCAGATGGAATCAAAAGCATTTAGTAATCGAGATTGAGTATACTCTAAATCTATTTTCAAAAAACGAACAAACAAAAACTTGGCAATAGCGTAACATAAAATAACACCAAAAAAAAACAACGATTATTCTTTTTTTATGGCATTAAAATGTGACAATGAACAGACATTGGCTTTTTTAATTTATTTTCAACTGGGCGTATATAAATTGTTTCTTTGTAAAATGGTTACTTTAAGAATAGTGTGTGTTATCGAAAACGTCGATTTTGAATCAGGAGCACATATAAACATACCTTCAGACAACGAGCGATCAGGTGATAACTGACTGGCGCTGACAACTTACGCAAAACGTTAATCAAAAGTACAGAAGAACACATTCTATAAAACAGTCCGATGAAGGGTGGAATACGATGTTAAAAAAGTCACATGAACAGTACTATTTATTGGTTTTAATGTTTTTAATGAGCATAATTTGCACATATATATATATATATATATATATATATATATATATATATATAATATATATATATATATATATATACATATATATATATATATATATATATATATATATATGTATATATATAAACATAATATATATATATATATATTTACATATATATATATATAGTGAAATATTCAAACTTTATAAACTGATTAAGCATTTCGATAGTAAATCTTTAGATATTCTTTATTTGATAGTATTACTATGAATCTGTTTTTGAATATTTATATTAATCTATTAATGTTTCTGTTATTTAAACACAGGATTATCTTCCGACTCTATAATATTTGATCAAAATCAAATTTTGAAAAGGAAACGTCTACCACACAGTGTGTTTTGTAGACACGCGGGAGACTTGTTCAAAGTATGTTCAAAGTAATCAAAGAGAAAGATGAAAGGAAAACAAATGCTTAGCATCTATTAATAGATTTCTTTATTTGATAAAATATAAAGTGGCGCCTACAGTATGGCGTGTTGACAGCATGGATTGTCAACGTTCAAGGGTGTGGTAGCATATTTTAGTTAAACTGAAGACTTAAGTTTAGAAACATATTGTCCATTCAATGATCTTTTATTTAATACCTCATTTTGTCTTACAAATCAAAAGATAATATTTTAAATATTTTTTTTAAATCCCAACCTTTTACATATGGTACCCGGGTACCAATAGTGGCAGCCATTTTCTTTTATTACATGTTGATTTGACCCATGGTAATAAGGGGAGAGACTGCAATCAGGTAAGCACAATATAAAATTAGTAAAAAAAAAGTAGGGTTAAACCTGAAAAAAGGATCGCAACAAAACAACGAACATGTCGGCAGAAAGCCCTCGTCAGCGAACAAAGCAACAGAAAAAACGGTATGGAAATAAAAAAAAAATTATTAAAACATAACACTTAGCTTAGAAGTCGTATCCGTGGGCAGCAAAAGAAATGTGACACAAAGTATGTGAGTGGGAGATTAAATAGGGAAGAGCGAAATAATAGAGGAGAAGTCAGTCCACTGCGATAGGTCGAGACGTGGAGGGCGGAGCTAGGTTTAAGCTGTCAAAAGAGACATGACATTCATCATATGTGGTGTCAATGTGACATAAGTCAGGATAAGCTTGTGATCCAAATTCACCCGGCTGGGTGGGTTCGTGCTAGCTACGATAGCCCTTATTGAAAAGTCCGTCTTGCCCTGGTGGTCGCTACTATTGAAGTGTTTGGAGACGGGACACTGTTTATCTTGTGTAATGTTACGTAGGTGTTCGGTAAACCTGTCAGAGAGTCGGCGTCCAGTCTACACTATGTACGTCATCTGGCAGCGGGTGCAGACAATGGCGTAGAAAACCGTCGCGTATCTGAAAACTGCCCTTAGGGAAGTGTATGTGTTGAGTATGAAAAACAAAAGTGCAAGTGTTGCAACGGCTGCGCCCAAATAGCTTGGTCCCAAAGTGGGAGGGGGGCGTTAATATGACTGCGTACAAGGAGGTCTCTCAGATTTTTTTTCTATTCCGTCTGAAACCAATGAGAGGTGGGGAAGAGAATTGACCTATATCGATAGTCCCCGATAGAAATTTTGCAGCATCAAACGAAACTCGTAATGTGTGTTATAATGTGACATTTGCATGTT